CTCTCAAATAAATAAATAAAATCTTTAAAAAGAATTACTGAACTACTTCTTTTGGAGAACACCTCTCTTAGTAAGACAAGTACATTAGAAATGGGAGAATTGACAACTTGATTCAGAGTAGCCAATAGAAAGCCATGAAGCGGTTGGTCCACCTCTTTGCTACTTTTCTCTAGACAAAATGAATTAAAACGTGCATACTCTTTCACTTAATGTCATATATTGAAGATGGCTAATATGTCATATATATCTAAAATTAAGACGAGCTCATTAGTGCGTGATCGTATATGTGCCCGAGGAATGTAAATGGTTTCAAAATATCCCCTATTTTGGGGCACCTGGGTGGCACAGTCGGTTAAGCAGCTGACTCTTGGTTTCGGCTCAGGTCATGATCTCAGGGTCATGAGATCAAGCTCTGCGTCCGGCTCAGTGCTCAGCATAGACTCTGCTTGGGATTCTCTTTCCCTCCCCTCTGCCCCTCCCGCTAGTGCTCATGCTCTCTCTCTCTCTCTCTCTCTCAAATAAATAAATAAATCTTTAAAAAGAAAATCCCCTATTTTTTTTTTTTTTAAGAATTCCTCTTTAGCAATTTAACGCAGCACGGGAGATAATGAAGTCTGGCTTGATGTATCACTATTATTTTTTATCAAGAGGCCAAATGGACATAATTTAACACATCAACACTCCCAATTTAATTTTCCTCAACTGAATAATTAAAATACTAAGACAACTGGTTACCTTTGTAGTCACTCACCAAATTTTGTAACAGATTTGAAGCGAAAAGGCATATACGATAAAACAGGAAAACAGAAATATATTTTAAAAACCAGAACCTGGAGAAAAGCACTGGAAAGCCAGAGTGACGAGAGCGCCACCCAGACCCAAGCTGCCTCATTAATTAGTGACACCGAACTGAGAGGTGGTCCCGTCGAGTCCACGGGACTCGGTTTCAGAGGGAGAAGGTGGAGCCTGAACTCATTTCCAACGGCCTCGTCAGACATCCACCGGGGATGACACTCGGCCACGAGGCGTGGAATTTTTCCATGTCTTTCACTTCACATTGAAGGCCTCAAAGCATCTGCGTGGGCAACCATCATTTGAGAACCTCTTTAAAAGGTCAGAAGCCTCCTGGGTTACCCCTCCTTGGGAATTTTCTTCCCCCGCTTATTACGATCCATACTGACCGGCAGGCCTCAACTGCTGGTGGTTGGTTCACCTGACATTCGAAAAACAGTACTTTACCACGTTTTTTTCCTTTTGCTCTGACGAATAGAAGGAATCTTCACGCACTGAATAAAAGCCAAAATGCTCATCTTTCTGCCCCCACTAGATATGCGGAAATCGAAATTTCTGCTCAAGCCCTTTCTGCCGTGGGGACTGGAAGCCATCCTTACCTGGAATAACTTCCTGTTTTTGTAAGGCTCGCAGACCAGTTTTTCCATGTTTCCACCGATGACAAACGTGAGAACCACGATGGCCATCAGTACCCAGCAGAAGAGGAAACTGACACCAACCCCGCTGGAAACAAAACAGAAATGAGGTTTGGAATTCTACAGTAACTTATTCAACATTCACGGGCGCCTGGTTGGCTCCCTTGGTAGAGCGTGTGACTCTTGATCTCGGGGTCGTGAGTTCAAGCCCCAAGTTTGGTTAAAAAACAAAAACAAAAACAAAAACAAAACTACGGATCCAATATTACCTACCAGTACTTACGAGTCCTACCCATGCAGTGTAGGAAAGGGACCTAGAGTCTTTGCTTTGTGCAGGTTAAGCGAGCCCCCTGCTCTGGAGCGGAGACAGGAAGCCGTAAGCACTGTGACCTTTCAGTCCCAGGCATATATTTAGGGAACACTGGTCTCCTTGCAGCCCAGCACGCACGGTGGTTCCGGCATGGCCTCTGAGGTCAGGAGAGTGAACCTGGCCTTCTGCAGGGGACACGGTGAGTGGGGAGGTTCCGAGGCAGGAATTGCACCCTTGGGAGTCTGTGGGGGCCAACGTGGCTCTGCATGCAGAGGGAGGGCTGAGTGGCATGAGCTCCGGAGGCAGGCAGGGGTGCATGGGACGGGGCCCGGCTGGTCCAGGAAGGGGAGGCTGCTGAGGGCCTAGAAGCACAGGAGGAACATAACCCCCTTTCTCTCCGAGGAAGAACATTCTTGGCAGAGCGTGCAGGACAGGATGGACAGAGGCCCGCGTGGCCAGGGCTACCACTGAGGAGGCTGCTGTCGGTCCTGGGGTGGTGGGCTGATGTGGCTGGAAGCAGGGGACAGAAGAGATGGGACACAGGAGATGGACACAGCAGGATGTGCTGGAGATTCTGCCCGAGAGAAGGCGAGGAAGGGCCCAGGGTGATGCCAGGGCTTGTCAGCAGGGAAAGGAGACACTGGTTCTCAGGGAGGGAAGAGCAGGTGGGATCTGGGCCTGCTCCCGTTAGACATGGCCCTGGGGGTGCCGGAGGGGAGCCGGCTGTGTGTGGAGTGCACACGTCTGGGCTACGGGCCGGCACGAGGCAATCAGCTGCTTAGAAGTGACCACTGGCCCCTGGGACTGGGATGGCAGGGAGAGGCAGCCCGGGGTGGGGCCTGGGGGACTGTGCCGCTTGCTGGAGGGCAGCCAGCAACCAAGGCCACCAGGGAAGGTTGCTGTGTGGGAAGGAAAGCACTAGGCTCCCGTGCTGGAAGGGAAAACCAAGGCGTGTCTGCAGGGGGAGGGAGTGCGCAGGGGACCCTGTCACCGCGGGGAGGGCACATTCGGGGTGGGGCAGCTACAGGAAGTCCCGGGGCTGGAAGCCTCGAGGTCACTGCTGACCCGAGGGCAGGGCGGGGAGATAAGGACACAGGCAGCAAGCATCATTATTTCCAGTTGTCTGTGCAGGGAGGGGAGTGAGAGGGAAGAAGTGATGTTGGGAAGTTTTCTGTTGTCCTGTTTAAAGAGGGGAGAGAGCAGACCATGTTTAAGGGTTAAGAAGCAAGGCTAGGAGAGGGGAAGAGAAGGAAGACACCGGAGAGGGAAGGCTGGTCCACGGCACGCTCACCCTCGGGGCAGTGCTCAGGGAGCAGCAGGTGGGACGGCCCGAAGGGAGACACCCCTCTGCACCCTCTGGATGCAGGGGCGCTGGAGTTTGCGGAAGGTGTATGATACCTTTTATTTCCTCTGTGAAGAAGGGGGTAAAGTCTTCTGCTAAGAGAGGGGGAAATGAGGAGGATGGATGCATCAGAGTGGAAAAAGCCACTGCCGAAGGAAGGGAGGGAGGGAAGGAGGAGGGAGGAAAGGAAGGAAGAGAGGAAAGGAAGGAAGGAAGGAAGGAAGGAAGGAAAGAAGGAAGTGGGGGAGGGAGGGAAGGAAGGAAGGAAGTGAGGAGGGAAGGAAGGAAGAAACTTGTAGGGCTCTGAAGGATCCATTTGAGGAGGGGATCATAATTTTGTAGGGATGCCAGTGTGCCCCCTTGTGTGACTTTTCTCTAGGGTGCTCAGTTACTCGGGTGTAGAGGCGGACAGAGCAGACTCTTGACTCCGTCTCGGTGGACTGGCCAGATCATCAGCAGTGATTGTACCATCACTGCTACAAGCAGGAAGGACCCTCGAAGTGCGCAGGCTGATGGACTTAGAAACAACAGCCTCCCTTCCTAAGGGCACAATTCCGCCCGATCGACACACTTAAGGCCTAATTACCAATATTTGCCTGGTTTGGCTGAAATAAATAGCAAGATATGTTCACTGCAGGGGCCTCTGTCAGCCTGAATTTCTCTGACCTAAAAGGCTTGGGAGTCAGGGAGCGTATAAGGAAGAGGAACATTGTGGAGCGTAAGCCAGTCACCATGGTTTTAACCGGGTGCCGAAGCATGCGTGTGCGTTAGAGTTACAAAAATCATCCAAACCTTCCATAGAACACTACAAATCAACATGGCTACTCTCCAGAGCTTACTGTTAGCATTTCCAGCCTCTGTTTCTTAAATATGCTTCTATCTAGACAAGGCTGAGGCCTGTCACTCAGATAAGAATAGCTAATGGTGCTCAAAGTGTTGGAAAGAAGAAGGAGGAGGAGAAGTAAAACAAGAACAAGAAAAATAACAGGCAACAAAGATCGTCTGTGGTCAGCAGAAGCGAAAATATTTATTATCTGGACCTTTATAGAGGCGTGTGCTGACTCCTGATCCACACAGTTAGGAGAGTGACATGTGCATTATCTTGGGAGCCCCAGTCAAACATCCTCAGGACTCTGGTCAACCATGCAGGGTAGACAACCTCGTTCCATATCAGTGACCCCAGGATCTCCCACTCCTTGGTGGCTGACATTGGTGCCATTCCCTGTGCCTCAAGATTATAACTAAAAGTACAGGAACACTGCTTGTGATGCTTTGTCCATAGTTGGGTCCTACTTCCTTAAAATGGATCCCCTAGAATGGGAATGACTTGGCCAAGGGAGTTCTTGTGTCTTTAGGGCCCCTGCTCCCGCCTGACAAACTGCTTTCTGAACTATGACCGATGACCTGCCACCCATGTGGCCCATTTTGTGACACCCACGGCCACACCGAGTATTAGCTCCTCTTCAAAACTCCGGATAATCTGAGCACAGTTTTCAAGAGATAAAACTGGAAGCTTCACAGTACAAGAGATGGTTTTCCAGCTGCCTGGGTGACGTCTCCTTCCCTCCGGGGAGACCTTCCCTGGGCCCTAGAGACAGATGTATGCCCCCTGCTGTATCCCATCAGGTCCCTAATATGCTCCCTGGACCCTCAGGAGACACAAGGATCAGAGCAGAGTCAGGGCTTTCTGCCTCTCCTTCCCCCCTGATCTTTCACTAGGAGTCCCCGGGGAGATAAGGATTCTTTGTTGGTTTTTGAAGAGACCATGCTCTTCAACAGATGGTGTCGCTGTTTTTAAGAACAGGTGGTCTTGTGGTTACGGCTGAACAAAATATACTCTTTCTGGTTCCTACAGGCAAATAAACGGTTTTTTAGAAGAAATTACATTCTTCTAATTGGTTTGACTAGACTGACTACACCTCTACTGTTTTCCCCCTTTAGAATTATCCAGCTGTATACCAGATGTCTTAGGAGATGGAAGAGCCTGTCAAACTCGAATTCCAGGCTGAGTGATGGGTGTCGACTTACGGGGCCCACAGCCACCCTTAGGCTGCAAGCCACCTGAAATGCATCTGATCAGCATTTTTCCTACGGTGTAATAAAGCCCAGTGCTCCCAAGCCATGGGCTTCTGTGTGACTTTGTCTCTTTAGAGATTCCTTAGTCTACAGAGGTGAGAATTATACCCAAACTGAAGTAATTTTAGCCTCCCTCCAATGGCTCATGACTCCCCTGTTTCTTTTTTCTTTGAAGCTAGACAGCACATATTTTGGTTTTGTCCCTTAAAAATGTGCAAATAGAATTTTACCATAAGTGCACCCATTCAGAGCAATGTACTCCCTCCCGTCAAGCAGTTAAAAAGATGTGATCTAGGGCGCCTGGGTGGCTCAGTTGGTTAAGCGACTGCCTTCGGCTCAGGTCATGATCCTGGAGTCCCGGGATCGAGTCCCACATCAGGCTCCCTGCTCAGCAGGGAGTCTGCTTCTCCCTCTGACCCTCCTCCCTCTCATGCTCTCTCTATCTCATTCTCTCTCGCAAATAAATAAAATCTTAAAAAAAAAAAAAAGATGTGATCTATAGATTCACCGTCGAAACACTGACAAAACAGCCAAGTACCAGGATTGGTAAAATCTGAACATTAAACTCATTTTCTAGCTATAACTGTGTACATGGAAACAAAAAGACAGGGCAATATACTCTTTTTTTCTGGGTTAATTTCTTAAGTGTAAGCATGTGAGCAAATAGGCTTTTCCATGCACGGAGTTCTGTTCAGTTTTGTCCAATTTTGGCAGACTCCCATGTTGTTAGCTTTAAGGTTGTTTGTAAGACTACTGGGCCTGCGGTGCAGTTCTTTCTGCCCACAGGTCCTGTCCCCATGCTTTAATAAAACCACCTTTTTTTGCACCAAAAAAACCCCAAAACAAAACAAACAAACAAACAGAAAACCCAAAAGACTCTTGTGTTGCATTAATGCTAAGAAAGCCTCGTACCACACCAGAGGCTACAGGTTTGACGGAAAGGCCATACCATCATAGCTCATAAGTCTGATTAATTATTGTAGCGACCCAATGTTTGGAAAAGCACATTAATGCAGGACACTTGCTTGCCTGCTTCTCGCAGCCTGGTACTAGTGACGTAAGAGAAATGAGAGCGTGGCTGAGGTTTTGAGTCTCCATTGCTCCAGGGACTTGTTCTAAACCTTTACCTTCCTCTTGAGCCCCCATCACTCTCCCTGCCGCTGATTCTTGAGGTACGGACTGGAAAAGAAGATGTCAACTTGGAAGCCACACAGCTTCCTCTCTGGGACGCATTCAAAGCTTCTACCTCTGCCTCCTACTTGACATTTCTGGCCCCATCTGCAGTCACATCCAGCTCATGCCCTGTGCTTTGTCCCACCCTGGTAGAGTAAAGGTTTTTTGCTTATTGTTTGTTTCAAAACTACAAACTTGAATATGAATATCTTGGAAGCAGGCACGATTGCTCCACGCTGGTAACCCGCACCTGCTCTTATCACTGATTTAGGCTCCGTGTCTAAATCCTAAGGGTGCTGGCTCGGCAATCCCTTTGCTAAATCATCTCCAGAGTTTCAAAGTAAACAAGCTAATGATACTGCCGACCACAGAGAACAGTGTCTGAGACCACGTCAATCCTCAGCGAGTTTCTGGTGAATAAACGGATGGATGGAGGGAAGAAAGGGAAGGAGGGCGAGAGAGAAAATACAATGGGAATCAGGATGGCAAGCTTATAAATAGTTCCGCTACCGAGGAGCCCACCATATACAGACACTGTGTTTATGCTTGTCTATCGAAGTGCTAACAATTTAGAGTTTTCTTTTACTCTTGTCCACGTGGTGGCATCACCCACACCGAATAAGTACAATCACACCAGGACGCCTCCTCCGCTGGAACCCAGAACGCTCAGCCCAGAGGCCACCGGCTTCATGTCATCTGCTCTTCTCCCTGCATTTCCACCCCCCACGTGACAAGGAAGAGCAAACACTCACGCCATGAGGAAGATGCCCCCGGTGTTCGAGACGCAGCCTCGTCGGGTCGGGGAGGCATTCCGGTTATAGCCGCACATGCCACACATCAAGCCCAGGTAATAAAAAACCACCATGAGTGTCAGCAAAGAGCAGACAACCAGGCCACCCAGCCACCTGGTGAAGCAAGCACAGTGTTATTAGACATAAAAGAGGTTGATATGATAACGCAGAAGCTGTCGGGCTGGGGCTGGAGCCGCTGGGTAACACTGGGCAATCAAATATCCAGTTCCCCTGTTAATGCCTCAGAGAGTGACCCTGTAGTGACAAGACCCCTTCCCATCCCTAGTCCTCCAGCCCAACCAGCAGGAGACCTTAATTTTTATCTTGGTTTTGAAGAGCTCTGTCTTGCTCATTGGTCGGGAGACTACTGCTTCCTTCCTTTGCTTCATTTCCGTGGGGCTCCTGAGCAGGGTCTACTCAAGTTCTCCAAAGCTACCGATCACCGTACCCCTTCAGACCCCTTCTTTTCCCTGGTCTTTCTCTAAAATGCTTTGGGGTTGCAGGAATAATTGGGGAGGGGGGCATTGTGTTCTTTGCTGAACCGGAAACTCTACACGGGGAGTGCACTGAATATTTTAGAATTTACCAGCATCCTAAATCAAGTGCCTGCAGAATGCGAACCTCAATTTTGTAATGGTCCTGTGAGACATTTTAGGATGATGGGTCCTCAGTTAGGTCTTACTGGCTTTCCCGGAATGTACAACAACCTTTTCCAGCAGCTGAGGGGCATTCAAGGGTAGAAATGCTTCCCAACCGCTAAAACACTAAAAAATAAAGAATTTACTTCTGCAACAAAAGCTGCCACTGAAGCTTTTCATTAAATTAAGAGCAATCTCAATAATTGTAATAGCCACCTGCACCTACTCTTTGGCTTTTTGTTCCAGATACTGGGGACGCCAAATTAAACAAACCACGGATCCTGGCCTCGGAAATCTTTCACGGTTAATGTGTGCTTCATCTGCTTGGTTAAATTTCCTTTAAAAATAAGCTTTTAGTTTCTAGGGCAGGGGGAGCCGATGTGTAGACAGATAATTGTATCATTCTTTTCATTTGTGAGACTAACCACTAATGAGATTGTAAATTCATTGAGAAAGTGTCGGTCTTATGTTTGTCCTGACACCTGCCGGGGTGACCTAGCCACACGGTAGGAAAATGGCTTACTGATTACAGGGCAATAATTGAGAGCATAGTCAGATGGGGGCTGAAAACCCACCTCGCAAACATTGCCACTGACCTTGTGAAGGTTATTCCACTCCTCTGAGCCTCAAGTTCCTCATGTATGAAACAAGGTTACAAATAGAACAGAACCCTGCAGTTTTTTGTTTTTTGGGGTTTTTTTTTTTTGAGTATTAAATGAGATGTCATGTGTACAGTGCTTTGGAGGGCAGGCCGTAACTGTTCCTGAATTGCTAGCAATTATTGTTATTATTTTATTATTTATCTTGGGTTCTTGCATAGTAAATACCTGAACAGGAATGGAAGTCTCTGGAATCTCCATGAGTTTGGGCAGTAAGAATGATTCTGAAAGTGACAGGTGGTGGGGCTGAGCCTTTCAGAGGGAGAGCACATCTTACATGTCACATGGTCCTTGAAGTAACTCAGGTCTGTAGGTCCACCACTCCCTAGCACTCCTCCCTGAGATGTCCACTGTCGTCTGCAAAGCCAAACCCCACTGGCTAACATTTTCTAATGGGGCAATCCACAGCTGAGGACCACACTGCTTACCTGAGCTCTCGAGCAATTTACTCATTTCAAGGATGTTCTTTCTCTAAGAACCGACCTTGATGTGTTGATTTTATAAGACAATGAAAAGAATATTATCCAAATGCCCTCCTTAATTCCTTTTAGGCTTTGAAATCCTTTTACACATGTTAGATAGTTGTAATGAAGATTCTAAAAGCCATTAATGACATCAAAATCGCAAATTATTGACTTCTTGGCTCAAGAACTTCCAGTCTTCAGTTTTTAAAAATATACATAATACTTCATGAATTTGCATGCCATCCTTGTGCAGGGGTCATACTCATCTTCCTTGTATCGTTCCAATTTTACCATAGGTGCTGCTAAAGCGAGCACTCCAACTTATTAAATAAACATAAAGTAGGGTTAACACATACCAGGTTATGTGCTCTTTGTACAGTCTTCTCTCACAAGATGATCCTGGTTATCATGTCTGATTTCTACCCTGTTCCAGAGCAAGGTTCGCCCCCTAGCTTGCCGGCTCCGGGGGGTGGGGCACTCACCTGAATGAATCATACTCCTCCAATGTGGGTAAATTTTGGTGGACGTAAGTTTCAGTGTCATTAATGTAACCCATGAAATTGGACAGCTTATCCTGAATCGGAATCTGCTCGCCTATATTTTCAATATCTGAACCAAGGGAATTCAAGGTACTTTTGATATCTGAAAACAAAGATACCCAGGTTATGCATTTTCAAACCTAAGGGAAACAGAAACTCTGTTTCAGAACCAAAATGAAAAGCTTCAACCACTTTAAGTTTTCCCCATGTTATGCGTGTGTTTTAACCATGGAAAGGTTCTACAAGCATGAATGTAGCCAAGACCATCAAAGAGCAATTACTTAACAGAACAGCAAGCTATGGGCGCTGACTTTAATGACATGGTGCTGAAGTCAAGCCAGAGTTTTCTTCTGCTGCTTATTTCACTAAAAAATAAAATGAATCTGGTAAGTAAAGCCTGTGGTGTGCCTACCATGGACCAGGCACTTTTATAAATGTTAACTCATTTATTCCACCGAGGTAGATATTCTTCTTCCTATTTTACTAAGTGACCCTGAGGCCCATCGAGGTTAAATTACTTGCCCAAAGATCTTTTTTTTTTCTTTTTCCAGAAAAGCACTAGAAATGGGATTAAATCCCAGGTTTGTCTACCAAAGCTTTGGTTAAATGATTTTGGAAAAATAGTTTAATAAGAAATAGCATTCAGGAACACAGTAATTCGCCAGGAACAATTTTTTTGAACAAGTGGTCCCAGGCAACATTTTTGTTAAAATTTGATTTGACTCATACAAATTGAGATGTGTTCAAGTACATCTGTGCTCTCTCCTATGCAGATAACAATGTATTCCCAGTGGTCAAAGAGTTTCTGTTAACATCCATCCTAACCTTTCAGAGAGAAGAGAAGTTCTAATTTTCTGGAAAGTGTTTGTCCATTGTAATAGGTCCTGGGATCAAAGCTATCCAGGACACAGACGTCATCTAATTTAATGCTCACACAGGTCTGAAGTTGGTGCTATCTGCAGTGATTCTTGACGTGGACATACTAACAACATGCTAATCAGTTAAACGTCCACTGATCCTGAAAAGGGAGATCAATCTCTTTGCAGCCAGCAGAGAGATTCGCTGTTCTCACAATGAGATCCCAGGTGAACTTCGGGTAGATGGCAGCATGAATCAAAATGGAGTGACATAAAATGGTGGGAATCTTCTTCAAAGGGTGTTGTTCACACAGAGCTCCCAGGAGGAGACTGCTGCCCACAGTGGTTCAATTCTCCTCTAAATGTACCCGGAGGCTCCAGGATCCTCAACAAGGTGACTTGGTGGGTCTCTTCTTTGACTCTGGGATTTCTGGGAGTTTGAGAGATGTGGGATGCAGACTCTCCCTCCCCTTTGAACAGTTCCCTCAACTCCGAATCAGGTTCCTTCTGCTTCTCAGGCTGTCCTGCCCTCCCACACGACACAGCTCCCTGGCCTTGACTACTTGGGTGACTCTGTACATGGCTGGTATCCTCTCTCCCCAGATACTTCCCTCAGGCCCCAGTTTGGACGTGTCTTCCTCCAGGAAGCCTTCCACTACTCTTTCCCCCCTGGATCCCTTGCGTGTGCCTTGTCATGTTGCCAGAGTGTGGAAAATGGCATCTGTATATGTGCTCAGCTGAAGGGCAGGCGGGGAGCACAATTTATTCATCTCCCTTCCCCGGAGCCCCGCAGAGCCTGGCACACAGTAAGCACTCAAACTAAGTGTGCGGGGTAGGACCGAATGATCAAAACATGGGAGCTAAGGGGTTTTATTTGTTTTGGAAGGACATGAAAATAAGCAACTGATATTCACGTGAATGGAGTGATTGACACTCGCCCAGATCTGGGAAAACTCTGGCTTGCGTTGAGGCAATGACCGTGTGCAATGGGCCTCGCTCACGCATACTGCACACCTCGCTTTGCCAGACTTACAAGGGAGGGCTGCACGTATTGGCAGAAGAGGTCCAGAAAGGGGGAACAAAAAACAAAAAGTAAACACAGAAATTAGTAAGCAGGTGGCTATCGGACATACAGAGCGTGTTAGCCTTCAGATGCTAGCATAAGATGTCTTTAATCTCTTAATATTTTAAAGTAGAATCTTAGGTGAAACAAAAAGGAACACACAAAACATCTAAAGCGCTGTGTAATAGGATACCCAAAGTCTTAAAGGGTTGAAAGAACACTATTAGGGGAAAAAAAAAAAAATCAAATACCTCTAACACAACATTTTAAAACCACTTGGTCAACAGATAAAAGGAAGCAAAAAGAAGATGACTTAAAAGAAGAAGACGATCTCACCTAGCTTCTGAGATTTCTTCTTTAAGCAAATAACCCGTCTATTGCCATTGCTGCACAAAGAACTGTGTATACTGCACTCTTTCCCCGTGCATTCACCCTGAATACCACAACCTGAATACAACGTGATTCAATTATTTAAGACTAGGAGAATTCTCTCAATATCAGTCCTGCTCCTCCAAAAATCCTAAGCAACCCTAAGAGCCTAAGATACCATTACAGCAGCATCAGAAGGCAGACGAACATCTTCCTAAAAAGACAAAATAAATCCTTATACATAGTATTCCTGGAAAAAAAAATGAATTTTAAGTTTTGTTTTGTTTTTAGAAAATATAATAATCTACAGTTTTTCCCCAGTGAAACCAATCAAAATGTGACCTTCCTAGTTCAACCACGGCTGTCTTTAGCTCTGACAGCTCAAGATGGGGCCTGGTCACTAGAGCGTGGCCCTTGACCTTGCCACCTCCGGCCAGCAGGACGATGTTAATCAGAGTTCAATAAGATTATTATTTCTTAAAATCTAAATCGCTGTGTGAAGGTGGCATAATTAAAAATCTCTGATACTCATTTAATCTTCCAGATCAGTGAGAGAATTTTAAAAGAGAAAAAAAAAAAACAAAAACACGTCTTAACAATACATTTTTTTTGGTACTAATCATCCAATTTTTAACAAAGAGAGAAACAAAATGACTTCAAACTCTCTCACCTGATATGATGTCTGTGGTTTGATTTTGCACCATCTCGGGAATATCATTAAAGGATTTATAGCCCTAGAAAGTAGTTCAAAGTAAATTGATACACATAGTGAGTAGAAGGGTAATTAATGAGTATTCAGTTTTCAGCTTAACGTGGAGGAGAGAAGCAAAATAAAAATTCTAACAGTCATCTTAAGGGTGAAATCATCACTATATGGTCATTAAAAGACTACCAAAAAAATTCCCCTTAAGGGAGGACTTTCCCTTTAAATTGTATCCATCCAAGACTTTGCTAAAAGTTTTTCACTTTTAAACTGTTAATTTATATTATCTATAGTAGTGTTTCTCAATGGAGGGTGGTTCTGTCCTCCAGGGGACACTTGACAATGTCTGGAGACATTTTGGTTATCATGACAATGGTGCCGTGTGAGCAGGGACCAGGGGCTTGTAAATACCCTACAACGTCTGGGACAGCCCCACCACAGGGAATCATCAACAGTGTTGACAGTGCTGAGGCTGAGAAGCCCCAATCTGTGCAATGTTCCATGTGCAGGTAGAAAGTGAGTTACCCAAATCAGAGTCGTATTTTCCAAGGCAATTAGGAAGTAAGACTGGGGATCTAGTCTCACCGAACACACAGCTTATAGAGGACGTACATTTTAGTGACGCTGAAGTGAAAACAAAAACAGCCACTCCAAGCTATGTCATTTTGGGGCTAAATCTGGGACAAGAAGATGTCATTATTTCTAAGTAACTCAACTGAACAGACAGCATTTCCTCGGGAAGCGGTGTATTCTGTGTTTCTTCGCTGTCTGCTGGTGTCTTTAGCTATCTGCTGGGGAACACTGTATCAATTACAACCTGTTATGGACCAAATGTCTGGCACCCCCACCTCCTGTCCCTGGCATCATAGCCTGAAATCCTAACCCCTTACGTGAGTGACGGTAGTAGGAGGTGGGGCCTTCCGGAGGTGATTAGATCATGAGAGTGAAGCCTCATGAATGGGATCAGTGTTTTTATAAAAGGGGAACCCACACAGCTCTCTCCACCACGTGAAGATACAATGGGAAAACGGCCGTCTGCAACCTGGAAGGGTCTCTCGCCACAACTCGGTCGTGCTAACCCTCTGATCTTGGACTTCCAGCTGCCAGAACTGTGAGAAATAAATTTCTCTCGTTGAGAAGCCACCCAGCCTTTGACAGGCTCTTACAGCAGTCCAATCTAGGTGACAGACTTTATAAGATTTATGGTGCCAGCAAGTTTCCGGTTTAGCCTGGTAACATCGATGCCGGGAAAAGAACAGCTACCACTTCTGTTCCCTCAACGGTGACTACGTGAACCAGCACACAGGTCCTTGTTTGGATGAGTGTACACCTGACCCCTCTGCTTTTATCTGCCTTTGGACTTGTGGAGGTCAACTGTTGAAAGAGGTTTTATGGTCAAAGAGGCCTTATAGATCTCCTGGATCAATTCCCTCATTTAACAAATGAGGGGACACCAGTTCGCAAAGACCAGGAGTTTCTAATGACTTGTTTAAGGTGACACTTAACTTTGTCAGTAGATGAGTGTTTAACAGATTATCTGAAGATGTTTTGATAGCCATGCTGAAAGACAGAGTCAAGAATAACACTATTCCCTCCCTTTCCTGCAGGCCCAGGGCATACTTATTGAATCATAATCTACAAAGAAATGTTTATTGTGCACTCAACATATAGGTTGAATAAACAGCAATAATTGGTAGGCTATCAGGGAAATGATGATGTTCTAGACCAACGTAGCCCCTGCCGGTTTTAGAGTTTACATGCCAGTGGGACAATAGAGACATTAAAGCAATAATTACAGTTATGATGATCTTAACAAAGACTATCTGCTGTGCTGGAAGAATGTGTTAAAAAGGGTTTGACATGGTCAAGATGCCCGGGAAAGGCCTCACTAAGAAAGTGATGTCGGGGGTGTGTGGGTGATTCAGTTGGTTAAGCCTCCGACTCTTGATTTTGGCTCAGGTCATGATTTCAGGGTCGTGAGATCGAGCCCCACGTTGGGCTCCACGCTCAGCGGAGAGTCCGTTTGAGGTTCTCTCTCTCCCTCTGCCCCTCCCCCCACTTGCTCGTTCTCTCTCTCTCATTGTCTCCCAAATAAATAAATCTTTAAGAAAGTGATTTCGAATGCTTTAAGTAGCTAGTACTTAGTAGCCTAAGTGGCTGGGTGAAGGGGAGAGAGGCAGGCATAGCCCACAGCACGTAGGAATGTGCAGAAGGGGGAGGAGACGAAGCGACAGGCTGACGCACCAGAATGGGAGGGCACCTCACGTCAGTCAGTATGGGGTTCGGCCCTACACCTACCAAATTCTGAATCCCAGGAAGACAAGATCATCTTTTGCTTCTTATCTCCAGCATGGTGCTTTGCACACAACAGATGCTTAACACAAATTTATTCAAGTGCAATGAGCGAAATTACCTGGAGGATAATAGTTAACACCCTTCTTGGCAACCCCCTTTCCAAAATTTTAGGGTTTTTTTTTGCGGTTACCTCTTTTCTTATGTACTAGTCTACCCTTTAACATGATGTAAAACACACCATTGTAAATTTTTTTTTTTTCCAAAAAACATACCTGTTGGACCAGGCTGGACAAATCTGTTTGAAGAACGTCATTAATATTATCAATTTGCTGATCCAAAGATGGGAGCTGAAAATTCATAAAACAAAATATAAGGCAAGGTGGTTACTCCCAACACTATTTGTCATAAAAAAGGGAGTCATCTTATAGCCAAGTCCCAAAGTCTCTATATTATAGGGTATGGTTTAAGTTTCTTTTGAACAATAGAATATTGTTTGGGGAAAAAGACATTTAGCTCGAGGGGCCTTTACAGGCATTAAGTTTTAGATGTTTGGAGGGCTCCTGGGGCAGTTAGCAAAAATTAGGGAAAGAAATTTAACACAGATCAAACACATGCGATCTCACACTTCAGGTACTGAATATCGTTCAATAAAGTTGTAAATAACCTTTAAAAAAATATGTTTAAAAGCAATACAACCAACGTTATGTTGGTGAGTGGTCTGGAATACATTTTTCCTTTACAGCATTGTACATGGATTTAAAGTGTTCTATCTCTCGCCAAGACTGGGACAAACATCACAGACCTCCTGACATAATGTACCAAGAAAGACACAATATCACTCTTGTGATATCCCCGGCAAGTATGCATAACTCCAATCTAATCATGAGGGCACACCAGATAAACTTAAATTGAGGTCCTTCTATAAAATAAATGGCCTGCAGTCTTCAAAAATGTCAATGTCAGAATAGAAGAAGATGGGCAGGGGACTATCGCAGATTGAAGGAACTAAACAGACATGACAACTAAAGACCACATATGATCCTGGACTGGCCCTTAGACTGGAGAAAGAAAAACAGCTGTAAAGTCAGTTTTTTAGGAAAATCAGCAAAATTTGAATATAGACCATGGACTAGATGCTCATATTGGGTCAGCGTTACATGTCCTAATTTTGAGAACTGTATAAAGGTTGTGTATGGTTAGGAAATGCACTGACATATTTAGGGGTAAAAGGACATAGTCTGCAACTTAACCGACAAGTGATTGAGAAAAGCACAAAATGCATAGTATTTTATACATATAAATGACAATATGAGTAGATGGTAGATACACAGATTGATAAACAGATAAAATAGGATGAAGCAAATGGAGCAAAAGGCTGGCAATTGGTGCATCTGGGTAAAGGCTGTAGACAGGAGTGCCTTGTACCATTCTTGCAACTTTTCTGCATGTTTGAAAAGACATCAAAATAAAAAGTTACCCCCAGAAGACTCGATCCCATACAATTCAAATGCAAGGGAAGATCCCAGCCTCTGAAAAACCATGCATGGGTGACCACAGTGATATGCATAACTCATACATACACACTGAGACTGAAGGTGAAGAATCTGCGTGATGCTGACCCATGAGATAAAAAGGTGAGAAGAGTAGAGTCATATTAAGATACTGTTTTATAAAAAGTGGGGCATGTATATACCACTACCTCAATGCATTAAAAATCATGAGGAAACATGATTATTTTATCTCTATTTCAGGACTTCATATATTCAAATTGCTCCAAATTCTCCCCCCGCCCATTTTCCCTTTGGAATATGGAGAATTCCCTTATATTTAAGCATATGTGGTTAATATACGAGGCATGCCATTTGAAACTATATTTTAATTTTTAAAGGTCTACAAAAACACATTCTATTTCCTTTTTTCTTTTTAAAGCTGAATTCATTCTGGTAGGTTCCACCAAATTAACCGCAGAGGACACTTAACAAGGGGTTTCCCGTTATTCCTTCTCCCCAGCGGCAGCCGCACCGACGTGGCAATCAGAAACCCGACAGAGACCCAGGCCACCATGCTCCTGACAGGTGTCCCAGTGGCCCTGCCCTGTAGCAGGGTCCCCAGCTCACCTGATCCAAGTTGGTATTGTCATCCAGCTGGCTGAGAGACATCTGTATGCTGTTGCAAGTGGTGGCCACTGGTGGGACAGAGCACATGGGGTCACTGAGTGATTGCTCCACGTTCATTTTCACGTCACTGAGGCTGGTGTTAAGCTGTGTGGTTGACTTCTTCAGCTCCTTTAAGGTGTTGTTCACGTTCAACAAGGCTTCTTTGGTCTCTTTGATTGCTGTGGGGACACACCTAGCTTCAGAACAGACGCACCCACTAGGCAGGCAATGGCGAAACTCCTTCTCACCTACAAAGTACCCTCAGGGACCTTGAGGTGGGCTTATAAAAGACATTGGGAGGCAGGCACTGTGGCCTCCTTGCCCCAGCTACTCCAGCTGGCCCAGCTTTCCCACCTGCGGGCTCTTCAGACAAGAAGGAGCAAGAATCAGCCCATCAATGCAAGGGGGACACCGAGGTGCAGCATTCACTGGCCAGCGCAGGAAGAGTCATGGCAGGGAAAGGTGTCACTTTCCTAGCATCGCCCAGCCTTGAAGAGGCCAGCCCTGACAAGCTGGTGCTTTCAACCCCGAGCGGTTTTAACCCACATCAAGACTGATCACACCCAGACATAGCTTAGTAAGGGATATTCAGAGAGCTGGAAGTAAACACAGAGCAGCAGGTGAAGGGCACAGTTTTGGGTTCAAGCGGGTCTAGGTGCAGATCCCAGCCTTGCCACTTGCTGGTTGCCAGAAACTGATTCCTGAAAGTTCTTCAGCGATTTCCTCATCTGAACATGGTGAAACCACCACCACATTCATCACAAAATATGGGCATCAGAATGAGATTCCTTGATGGCAGTGAGTCCATCTGTTCTATCTGGGGAGCCCCCAGCCCAGGACACATTCTTATACTAGGAAATCCTTGCTAATTGTTTGCTATCCTGATTTTTCTGAGGTGTACAGCTATGTATTCATGACCAGGGAGGTCGTGAATTACAACACTTTTCTACAGTGACTTAAAGCGACAGCAGTAAAAGATGTGAAATTTAAATCAGAGGGCACTGCTTTTCTACTAAGCCAGCAAGTCTTCTAGGCTCACAGAACAGATGGCAGAGCATCAAGCCACACTTGGACGTTACAAGCAAAAGTGTGAATGCCCTTAAGAACTGGTTTCCCTAACTTTCCCTGGCAACCACATAAAACTTGAGTGCTCAAACCGCACGCACACACGCACACACACATGCACGCACACACACATGCACGCACACACACATGCACACACACACACACTTTAATGCCTCGTGTTGTGGGATCTCACCTGAGGTCTTATCCTAATTCTGCGATCACCTTGTGATAGCATCTTGGGCAAACTCTTTCACCTCTGGGGATCTCAGTTTCCTCATGTGTAAACTGGGGAGCTGGTTGGGTCATCTCTTGGTTCTTAGGAGAGTCTATGATTCTCGGCTGTGTCCTAGCAGGTATGCTCTTAGGAGATGGCATTGTCCTTGTCACCCAAGATGGCACCGCAACCCAGCTCTGGTGATTTACCCTGAGACTGGGGGAGGCTTCCAGGATTGGACCGTATGACCACTGGCCCCAAATTCTGTCACGTTACCTAGATATAAAATCCTAACATCTGCTTCAATCGTTTCTTTTGAATTTTGGTCCAGTCATGTCTTAACAGTGTTGGAGATATAATAATATTTAAGACTTTGTCAAAGAGTCACTCTGGGAGTCAATGTCTCATCTCTTGTACCTACCTCCCAGGATTATCAGCAAAGCATGGCTCATATTAGAGGCTCAATGAACGTCTACCACAGCAAAAACAAGAAACAAAGAACAGGGTTGCAGCTAAAAACACATGACAGGATGCAAAAGAGTGTGCCAAAGTATGCCTCCCATCATACAACACACACCTCACATTTTAATGTGGTTTACCTCTCACAGTCCTTTCCATTTTAAGAGAAGGTATTTTAAGGCAAGAGACAACAACAACCAAGAATGATGGGTGATAAAATAAATTGATGGCCCAGAATACATGTGTCCATTTAAGCACAGTTTATAGACATTCTGGGTTATGGGTACTATTCTGTCATGTTCCAAGAAAGACTCAGAGGTAATAAATATATATATATTTTCCAAAGGCTTCAAAGTATTTTATGTCTATAAAATATCTACTGGGTTACAACTCTGGGAGTCATTCCAGACTTAGCAAGATCACATATATTATGTATCTGAAGTCAGTGGAAAGATATTTCAGATTCTCAATTTTAATTAATTAACATTTTACCAGCTCATAGCACATTTCCTGTGTAGGTCCTGCTCTGCAGCTCAAATAAGATTTACACAGATGAATTCACATGGTTCTGCTCTCTCCAAAGCCACTAAACACGTAAAGCTGCAAAGAATTTTTAGCAAAAAATTCGTCAAAGCATTGATTCTCAGCCTTTTGGTTAAGATCCAGCGCAGTATCTGTTCTTATCAATTTAATATCTGATACATCCTCTATCGAAGGACAATATATTAAATGGGTTTTTGGAGAAGGGGAACGGAATGAGAGTTTACTCCATCCACTCCGCACATTGACCTGGCATTGTAGGACCTCCAGGAATGGTGCTCCCCTTCAAGGACCAAAAGAAATTGTCAAAGCAGTTTATTAAGCATAGTATAAAATGTTCTGGCAACACCAGAGGCTAAACTTTAACGTATTCAGCCTGTTTAAAAAAATAATAAAACTTTAACACTAACACAGGAAGCACTGAAGAGAAAAACAAAATCTGTTTCCATGGCCTTTAATCCAAAGGAAATTATAATTAAAACATTAAAAATTGGGCAAATCATGGGCCAAAAGTAAAGGTACAGAGCAACCACACTGCACCAGTCATATATTTTTGCACAGAATTTACCATCACATAATTTTGGAGCTGGAGAATTCGGAAGACCAGTTTTCCAAATGCCTGGCATCCTCCCGTGGCCACAGCAGCACTTGAACTCTAGATTCCTAACTCCTCCTCCAAAGTTACTCTGGGCTGTCTTGCCATGGACGGCACAAAAACACCCTACAGCTTCACACTCTCCAATGGTGTTGGCACCCAAATACCATCTAGTGTGGACCAGGAAGCACAGTCTTCGTAGTCAGACCTGCATCTGAATCCCAGCTCCACCACTCCCCAGCTACCTGGTCTTGGATGAGTTATATTATCTCTGAGCCTTACTGTCCTGAGTTGGTAAAATGGAGGTGACTATACCGATCACACAGAACTCTTGTGAGAACTAACAGGATTTAGGAAAAGCAGGCCCTCAACACTCAAGGCCTCAACACTCTAAATATTACTTTATGTCTAATGATTTCTACAAACACTTGCTGTGGACTGTGTTGGTTGACATCTCAGAAGCCATGTCATCTGTCTCCTGCACTGCAGCAGACCTGTGTTTGGATAACATGGGTCCCACCTCCCACTTAACCCATTTCCCCTGTGTAGCACTGGTCCAAAGATGGCTGTGGAACCCCAATTGGCCCAATTGGAGGGAAATCTGGTTGAGGAGGAGGAGTAATGTGGCCGGTGTTAGCCCTCTTGCAATTATAAGGGAAGTTTGCATTAGAATGATACCGACATTGTAGAGAATAGCTGGGTAAAAAGAATCTCACCACTAGATCAAGCCTTACCTGAAGCCAGTGTCAGTTACATGAGCAAATAATCCACTTAGTTGAAAGCCAGATAGAGACAGATTTTCTATATGTGTTGGGGGAAATGACCCATAATTACTCAAGAAATGTTTCCAAGAGAAGAGAGATGACTGGAGACATCTGATTGTAAAGGTCACAGAGCCAGCCCAAATCATTAACCCATTGGTGAAGTGCAAACACACGAAGCTATGACGAGGGCACGTGGAGGATAATCAGCAAGAGCAATGCCGAAGATGTGGGAAGTGAAGGGTCAGCATTTTACAGGAGTGACGATTCTCCCAGTGAGGGGATGAGGAGCCACCAGGCCCCCACCTCCTTTCATTGTCTGTTCCTGGTGGTTGGTTAAGTAATACCTCCTGCTAACCACAGGATAGGGTGGGGGGGGTGGGGGGGGGTGGGGAAGGGCTCCTTGACAGTGTTGTTGAACCCCCGAATCAGCTAACTTTGGAACCACCATACGTCCAATATCTTGTCACGTGTGATATATTTCCTGTTGTTTAAGCCACGTGAAGGGTCTTTGGCATTGATATCACATCAATGGCGCCTCCAAAAGACCTCCAAGAATCATCAGCAAAATTCCCAAAGCAAATGAAAACAACTATAATCTGATTTGAAGAGATAGATATATCCACAAAGCGCATCAAGGGCAACTAAAGAAAAAATCAAAGGACCTCAGACATTAAAAGTAAAAGATCAGGAAGCTTGTAAAGTCAAAAGGAGTTGCCTAGCAACTGAAGCAGGACTGTGAACGAATGTAATCCATTTTCCGCTCCATCACCAGCAAAGTTACAGTATTCCACGCTTAGAAAATGAAGCTCTGCAGGCCTTTATTTGTTCAAGAAATGACAATCCGCTCTGGGCTGGACACTGTGTTGGGTGTCTCCAGACACAAGCCAGGGGAATTAAGACATGAACAAAATCAACCGGCCGATGATGCACGTGCAGTACCGGGGTCTGAGGGAGAATTATGCCTAGAAACCTACGGTAGAATAAACGCTGAGATCCGTGGTTTGGAAGGGAAGGTTTGGGGTTTGCGGGGCTGAGATGGAAAGTGACCAGAAGGATGGGCAGGGGCCAGGTATGGAAGGAAGACAGGCAGGCAGGAGGCATGGGTGTTTACATCACATCCCTTCACTGGGCCTCGGTTTCCTTGCACTGGAAGGACATGGTTGGTGACGAGGGGAGCAGGCATCAGGGAAGCATCTCAGCATTATCCACAGCAGAGGACATGCCTTCAGTTGCAGGTAGACCCGTTGCAGGGTCAAGGAGAAGAGCAAGGAAAGACTAATCAGTTGGTTAAAATGAATCTTACCAACTCCTGGCCTGTTCTGCATGTCATCCCGTTTCCTGTTTCCATGTCTTTGAACTCTAAGGGGATGGGGGGGTGGCAGGGAGGAATGTCAAAAGGAACGGGCGTAACCTTCCAACTTCAACACAAGTCCTTCCTTTGTGGCCTGTCTTCTCGGGAATCCTGGCTCGTGAAAGTAAAATTCACAGGGGCAGGATGACAAATGTGAGGCACAGATGAAATTGTCCTCTCTATCAAACACTTAGCACCGATATCTCCTCAACATTTGGAAGGGGCTCGGAGTCTTTTTTTTTTCATTGTGATTGAATATGTAGTTTCTTAAAATCAGTACATCTGCTCACTTAGATCACTGACTGTGGTGTCTTAAGATATCTCTACAGATTCCTCTTTCCCAAAAGTTGTTCTTTCCAGAGAAAAGGAAAGAGTAACCAATAGACCCCCAAAGACCTAAACTTCTCGAGGCTACTCATCTTCTATAGCAAGAGTCGACAAGCTTTTTCCGTAAAGGGGCAGATGGTAAACACTTCAGGCTTCGTGGGCCACATCTGCTGTCAGATGCCCCCTAACCGGCGGAGCACGGCAGCCTTCCAATAACCATCTTTACAAAACCAGGTGGCAGGCTCCTATCAAATGCTGCTGTTTTTATTTCAAAGGACTTGTAGACAATTAATACAACCTCTTTGACACAAGCTTTTTTAAAACAAACAAACAAACAAAACCCCAAACAAACCAAACCAAACCATTGCGATGCTGTGTGTCTTTACCTGTCCTGTGGGCATGCCCACATCTGGGGAAAACAAGAAAGGGGAGCGTGATCCTGGGAAGCCTCTCTCACCCATTTCCGGCGCGGTGCTTACCTTCTGCCATGGCGTTGATGTCATCAAGCACGGGCATCACTTTAGGTCTTAGCTGTTCGTGAATTCCGCCTCCTAGCAATGACTTAATATCTAAATGCAAAGAAGCAGAAGGCGCTGTGAGGGTAGGCTCCACGAGTGTCCTCTCCTCTTACCTGCATTTTCCTCCCGCTGCAGGATGTCCTCCCTTGGAAAGTCGTCTGGGGTCTCTCCTGCCCTGAAAGCCCTCTTTTCATCCTCGACCCCATTTAGGTGTTGATTCTTGGGGAGATTTCTTCACGCTGTCCAAAGTCCCCACACCAGCAGTCTCCCGTGAAAAAGCAATCAGCACAGACTGGGTATTTAATCTTACAGGTGTCCCCTGCTGGTTTTGTAGCGAGATGAGCCCATACAGAGACGCGAGAGTGGCGCCCCCCAGCGCCTTCCCCAGGAATCACGTCCAGTATCTCAGGGTGGAGCCCCAGAGCTCTGGGCTTCGTCTCCAGCTACTGTGTGCATCCGTTAGCATCAGGAAAGCCTAAGAGAGGTGACTTTTGGGGTCTGGGAACCCTCCAAAGTGTTTCCATATAAATTAAAGGTAATCGTTTCTTTGCTTTATGCCATTTCAGATTACAAGAGTATTCACAGGAAGGCTCAGCTTTCGGGTAACGGGAAACCTGTCCTAGGAACACAGTGTTTATCAAGTTAAGCCGTGTGTCTCTGATCTCTTCAGCTAGGCCAGGGTTTCCCAACAATGACACCATGGACGTTTTGAGCTGGATAATTCTTTATGGTGGGGGTTGTCTTGTGTGTTGTAGGGTGTTTAGAAGCCTCCCTGGGCTCTACCCACAGAAGTCGGCAGTACTGCTCCCCCCACCCCCCACCTGCTGGGACAACCAAAATGTCTCCAGATGTTGCCTGGAAGGCAAAACAGCCCCTGGGGGAGAACCGCTGAGCAAGGCCATGTGGGACCTCCTCGGGGGCCTACAGGGACCAGCACTGCCTACCCCCCTATTTCTGAAGCCCACTGGTTTCTCTGGGGAGCCCATCTCCATCTGTAACAGTGGACCTGACAGAGACCCATTACCTCCGTCACCTGGGGAAGGCAGAACGAGCACTTGTGACCACAGGAAAGCATAGGCATTCTTACCATAAAGGCTGGGTTTTACTCCTCGGGTAACAAACAGAAAATTGTCTCTAACTCTAGGGAATTGTTCTGCTTTGCTCCAACTTTGATGCAGAAGTCGTAGAAATGGCATACTTGATCACCTGGCCCATGTTTCGTGGGAGATGGCCAGAGCGTCTTCTAGCCAAAACCAACCAACCAACCAACCAACCAACCAACCAACCAAGTTGAGGCAACTTTAAGTTTTACTCACTATCCAGATCCGAGAATGCCTTTTTCTTCGTGGTTGCATACTGGCTCAGTACATAGTTGATTTGCTAAAAAAAAAAAAAAAAAGCATGAAATTCTGCTAAAGTCCAAAGCCACAATAAAGAGAGATTTAACAAAAACTATCCTGAATCAGAACATTTTAAAAAGAAAGCAGGTTCCTAGAGATACTTGTATTTTCTGATACCCAGACTTCTTAATAACACTCCAAAACTTCTTGGCTTAGGAAATAGGATTTCTAATTTCTCCTGATTCTGTGCATTGGCTCTGTGGAGAGTCGGGGCGGGGCCAGCATGGCTGGGGACAAACGGGTCCCTCCCCTGACGTGGCCTCTCATCTTCTAAGTGGCCAGCCTGGGTGTTTTCACACCATGGTCTTGGCAGCAAGAGAGCAAGAGTGGACACTGAGGTCTCTGGAAGCCTGAGGTCAGAGCTAGCTCAAGGTTACACTCACTGCGTTCTTTTTGTCAAAGCAAATCACAGGCACGGACCAGATTCAAGGGATTGGAAACAGATCCACCTCTTCAAGCGAGGGACTAAAAAGAATTCGAGGCCATCTGTAATCTACTGCAGTAGGACCAATCATTATATTCAGTGGCTACGACCGAGCTGGCCTCCGGAGCCGCTGCTTACCTTCCTGTCTTCGGGGCCCTAGCGGACCTGCTTCCCCACACCCTCCATGACACTGGGTGTTACCATTGGTTGAATAACCAGTGCCAATCCCCTCAGTGAAAACGTACATGAGTATTTAAATTTTCGTTTTTTCAAATACTAGAGTAAGGTTAAATATCTTATTATGCTTGGGGCCAATTATATTTCCAAGTTAAATTGACCATTCACGTTCTGCCCATTTTTTATACATTTGTTAGACCTCTTCATGTATTTTGAACTAGATAAGTTTCCCCCCAAAGTCATGACCATTTACAATCCTTCCAAGATTCCAAAAGCAATCCCAAAGTTCACCGGCCACGACTGCTATATATTTAACGTTGCCACCTTTTTAGGAAAAGGGCTTTACTTTGGAGTCTTTAGAATGGTGGGTAAAAAAATATGAATTTTTATTCACAGATGGGGAAAAGGAAACATTTCCCTCTTATAAAGCTATGAATAAAATTAGCTTCTCGAACCTCAATATTAAAAAAAATGCTTGCAGTTTTTGCTCTTTTAGTTCCAACCCCATTTTTAAACACTGGTACAATATTTAATATGTTAGCATTGTTTAGAATATAACAAACTTCGAAGAGCACATCTCTTTGTGAAAAAGCCCATGGATTCCAGCAGGCTCTGATGAGGGAATTCAACAGGAAGGCATCCTTCTCCACATACTGGTACCCAGGAGCTCATTATCAATTATTTGGGCTGGTATGTACTCAGATATTTTTAAAAACAATATTCTCTCAGGCAAGACATCACATGCTTCTGGGATACAGAAAAACGTGCCCTCCAGCCACCCCATCCCCCTTCTTCCAAAAACAACTTGTGTGTGTGGGGGGGCACGTGTGTGTGTGTATCCCCCCTCCCAAGGAATTCTACACATCTATGCAGATGTGAGCAAATGGGTGTTTATAAAGCAGAAAACTCTTGAAACTCTTGTCTCATGACCAGAGTAACTTCATGCAAACCATGCGCGGTTAACTATATTGCTAAAGAGAAAGGACAATGGCACCCAAAGATGTTTCTTTTTAAAAAAAATCACGAGACCCATAAAATAGTTAAGCAATTATATAATAAATACTATAATTTTATGTTATACCTTAAAATAAAGGAAAATAAAGTAATAAAAAAATGACACCAGTTCTGAAATGATGCTTTTGTACGCTTTTGAAAATCACTCACTGGGCTTTTATTGCTTCATCTACAAAATTCAAAAGTAGCACCTGTCTACTCTGATTTTCTGGGCTTCTAGAAGTCCAAATGAGATTCCACATATACACAGGGACTCAAGAAGGCCCCAAACACCAAGCGTCTTTGTGGTTTTTACCTCTGGCGTTCCATTCAGGAGGGTTCTCAAGTCTTTGAAGTTGCTGTCTGCCAACTCCCGAGTCTTTTCGATCTGGGTCCTCAGGTGGTGGTTTGCCACAAAGCCATAGATGATGCCCACGCTGCCGGAAATGGGAGAGAAGGAAGGGCATTTACTATGTGTCCCGTGGTCTTCTGGCCAGCAGAGCAGCTCAGCAGATGCAAGGGGAGAAGGGCTCCCGAGCGGGGCCCCCAGGACGGCAGGACCTTCCCCCCTGCCCCTCCCCCACTGCTGCAGCCTTCCCGCCAAGACCCCAGAACCCAACATGTGGACCACAACATGGGACTCAGTCCTCTCACATGAGACACACAGCCATTTAAGATATGTTGTTCTGTTAAATACGAATCTTATAAATGGAAAAGGTTCCCACTAAATTGTGGAGGGAACAGAAGGAGCAATGTTTATAAGGCAGTGTGTGCAAGAGAGTGTCATTCCTGCCCACGTGGGAATGTGGGTGCACACTGTCCTGCCCAGCGCATACACAAACACACCCCACGTGCTTACCGCTGCTCCCGCCAAAGAAGACTATCAGGAAAAATACCAAAATGATAAGAATGGTATGGGCTTCCTAACATTTTTTTGCGCTAATTGTCTTTATTATTTTTTATTGTCCAGGTGGAAAAGAAACATGAGTTACTTTAGAGTATTAAACTGCCATATGAAAAATTGCAAACAGTAGCATCATACTGTATAATTTTATTGTATATAATGTACAAAATCAAGAAACCAATGGTGCTAAAAGTCAGTGTTTGTATTTGGGGAGGGGTGACTAATAACTTCATAACATCATTGACGTGCTCACATCATGCAAGTTGATGCCTACGTACTTAAGATACGGACACTCTTCTCTATGGGCGCTTAATGTTAACTAGTTACTAACAATCCCCTGACTTAAATTAACTTGACCAGTTGGTTTGTTTTTGTGTCAAAGCCTTCCAATGTTAAATAAAATGTTTCATTGAAAATTGTTAATTACCAAGGCCCTTCTAGATTTGGCCACTAGATGGCAGCAAGGAATTACCTAAACTCCTAACAACGGTATTTAACCCACAGAAATTAATGACAAAATTGTTCGTTTGTAACCATCCAATGGAAGGTGTGGATAGGTTTCTAGAACAAAGTTTTGCAAATAATAGGCAAACTTGTTCCCAGGCAACTCCTCAGTCTTGGGAAATGGGGATAATCATTTGCCCTATTTACAGTACTGATTCATTCCAAGCAGCATTGGTTCATTGCTGGTCTCACTTAAAACATATTTTCCCATTGCAGTATTACATAGGTACATTAGGTTTTCCAAACTAATCCAAAAAAAGTCTGTAACACATGCTGTTGAACAACATTTCTTATGGTTAACTAGTTGCCATGGAACGGAATGTGACCTAGGGTAGGAACATAAGACGTGGGTTCTAATCCCACTGTTGCCCCTAACTCACACTATGGGAGCTTGAGAAAGTCACTTTCCTTCTGTGAGCTTCGGTTGGTATTGCAAAACTGAAAATTAAATTGGATAAGTACTTCTCAACCTGTAAAGGAGAGGGGGTACTAGATGTCCACAGGGTCTCCAAGAACTTTTTAAGTTTTATTTATTTTTAAAGATTTTATTTATTTATTTGAGAAACAGAGAGTGTGAGAGAGAGAGAACACAAGCAGGTGGAGGGGTAGAGGGAGAAGCAGACTCCCCGCTGAGTAGGGAGCCCAATGCAGGACTTGATCCCAGGACCTGAGCTAAAGGCAGATGCTTAACCGACTGAGCCACCCAGGCGCCCCTCCAAGACCTTTTTTTAAAGTTTGGGTTCATGTTGATGGTAATTTTAAAAAAATGAACATTAACAATAGTCTGTGCCATTTGGAATGACCACCTTACAATCCATCTTTGCCATTCTTAAGTCTGCATTGGTATTTACCAGACAGGCAATATACTGTAAAAATAATAGTTATTAAATGATGCGCTCATGCAGAATAAGGCCAAATGACTTTGGAGTAGTGTGAACAGAAGAAGAGAAAAAGTCGGCTTGTAGCAATGCACCTGGAGGTTTATTTGCATTGCCCAATTTCAAACATTCCATCTCATGATGAGTCAGGGCCACCACCTGAATACACCTGCCCACCATAGGATTTCAAGCTGGAAGCCCCTTGCTCTCTCTCCCCAGCAAGCCCACATTGTCATTCATCATGCTCCAGACCCATTTTGTCATAGAGGAAGTCAAAATGAACTTGGAAAACAAACAACAGGTCCAAGTTCACTTGGCTTTCACTGAATGGGAAAAGAACCTCCTTGCCTTGAACTCTCAGAGGGCTCTCCCTGAAATTCGGGTGGGCTATTTCTCACTTCATACTCTCGGTTGCCCTATTTCTACCTATGTTTGATTTCCCTAGAAAGAGGTGGAAACTCCTTCTTTGTCAACTTTGGGTAAATGATGGGTCTCTTGTCCATGGTGGGTGCTCAATGAAAGTGGGTTTACGGACTGGGCTTTGTTTCATTTGATCCATTTAGAAGATTAGCCATATGTTTGGAGTGTCTAGTCCATAAACTGTCTTTGTTCCTTTACTGAATAAATGCCTTTACTCAAAATATCATCAATCAGTAAAATGAATTGCAATACAACTTTGCAATAAAACACTGAATTTCAATGCAATGTATTTAAAAAGACCTACATTTCTGCCAATCAATTATGGATCCAATTAAAATGAAAGCATTGGTCTTTTTCAAAAAACAAACTGTCCCAAACAGAATTCTGGAATAAAACTCAGCAACTTTCAAAGCTAATTTTCAGACCTATAACACATTGTAAATCATATTTAAATTAAGGATGGCAAATTCAAAAGCCTATACGGGCAGGCAGAAAGCATAAAGGGCAAGTGTATGGTATGAACCTCTGGGAGCTGGGAGGTCACAGGTGGGAGTCGGGGAGATGCTCTGTCTAGCAAGTGCCACCATGATGTGAGACCAGTATTGCCAGATCTTCCAATTATTCACAAAAATGGAAATCTGGATTTTTATGTAAAATCTTCTCTTTTTAAATATTGCCCACTAATTAAAAAAACCTAAATTCTATGCAAACTCCATTTGTGATCCCTAATTTAAAGCTCCTATTTATTTGTTTATTTAT